AGAAGTTATCTAGACTCTGAAGCGCCAGATGCACTCATTAGAAGATTCTGACTGCTGCTTACAGAAGTTCCTGAGCGTAGCCTCCAGAAGGATCTGAAGCAAGAAGCTCCAAAAGACTCTGAAGCAGAAGCTCCAGAAGAATCTAAAGCAAGCAGATGCATCTGAAGCAAAGAAGAATATTGTATGAAGAGTTTCTCAAAGCATAGTTTTTACAGAAGTTTCTGAAAGTACTAAAGCTGCCAGTACTGAAGTTCTGTGTCAAATATGCTCTGATGATCAACACGCTGAAAGCACACATGCTGCAGAAGACTCTGATACAGCAAAGTTCTGAACATCATTAGAAGACTCTGACTCAATCAGATTCTGATGAACTTGCTGAAAACTGAAGAAGAATTATTCAAAGATTATATCCGTTGGAGTAAATCAAACGTCTCTTTCCTCATTTGTGCTAGACACAAGAACACAGACAAAAATGATTTTTCTGTGCCTTCTACTTCTAGGAAAGGTCACTTGATGTAAAGACAAAAAGGCTCAGACCTTTTTGGACACTCTTCTCAACGCTCAGTTCTCCTTGGATCAGCTGCCTATAAAAGGAAGAATCCACCAAATTCTTCAGTTAGACATTTTTGCTGAAAAGAAATCATAACATTCAAAGCTCTCATTCTTTCATATTCTTCTTAGAATTATTTGTACTTAAACTTAAGAGAAATATCACTGTTGTGATAAAAGCTTTTTAGAAGCATTCATACTCTTGTATTTGATTTACATTGATTGTAAAGGTTTTCCTTAAGAGGATTCAGTTGGAATCAGTAGCTCTTGAGAAGACTAAGAACAGTTGTTCTTAGGTGTTACTATTGTAATCTGTTTGATTAAATAGTGGATTAAGTCCTTGTTGAGAAAGGCAAATCACTCTAGGAAGGGTGGACTGGAGTAGTTGAGTTCAACGAACCAGGATAAAAATAATTGTGTTTTTATTTCTAGATTTAATCTATCATACTTATTCAACCCCCCCTTCTAAGTATTATCTCACCTTCAATTTTTGCATTTTGATTAGTGGTTAGTTAAACAATAAACATTTAAGCATAAAGATAAATACATACAAAAGGGTGCTTGGTGATCTTAAAAGAAAAACCCCAAAGGATAAGAGGGGAGAACCAAATGTGATCTTGTTTGTGTAAAGATGAAAATGATAAGTGAGTCTTTGGGTTAAAAACTAGGGTATGACAACCATCACCATAGGTAATGCTTCACCGGTTCCCATCTGGAACTAACTACTCGCTCCTGAATTCATACCACCAGACTAGAGTACACAAAAACTGGACCGAAGTTTGTACACCATGATGCATGATTCATCATAACATGTAGTATCACCAAATAATCATCATACAATCACCACATAATCACCAAAATAAACAACAACATCATTCTGTACACAAAAATAAGCGGATTAAATCAACAACATAATAAACAACATCAAACACCTCAAAATAGTGGCCAAATAGTAGCTTAATCAGCGCAACACATCAAAAATCGAAACGACAAGTCAATTCCATGCAACTGAGCGAATGACACTCATTCTGGCAGCGTGACGGGTTACCCGTCACCTCCCATGTCACCTCCCACGTCATCTTTATAGTGATCGTCCCAACCAACTATGCTTAGGACCATGACAGTCTACGCGTCAAGCAGCTGGCACCCGTTACTGCCTCCAAAACCATGGCGACCACGATGTCATTAGGGTGATGCCCGTCACCCTGAACCAGAAATAGAATATGCATTTTTTCCATTATAGTTCAATTCAAAAATCCGACTTTCATTTCCTAGACCCAAAATCGATCATTATCAATCAGGAAAACATTATCTTGTATTGATACAACATCAATGTTAGTACCTAACTCACTTGCATCCACAATCACATAATTATCTACATTGTGCTCCACACACACACATATATATATATATATATATATATATATATATATATATATATATATATATATATATATATATATATATATATATATATATATATATATATATATATATATATATATATATATATATATATATATATATATATATATATATATATATATATATATATATATATATATATATATATATATATATATATATATATATATATATATATATATTACCGTAAACCTGATGACATCTTTGGAAAATTGCAACACATCATTATCATTATTCAAGGGTCTAAGACCACGAGAAAAGCCGAACTTAAGGTTCCAATGTCACATACACCTTATGTCTTTAAAACTCTCACTTTTAATCAAACTCATGTATGACATATAATCCATACTCCACTTCTAATTCATCTCAGATACATCCCTATCAACATACCACTTAACAAGTTCAAGAACTAATTTCTCCCTATGATGTATTCTTAACTTAACCTTATGACCCTTAGTTTGTCTGAGAAGTAACCGAAAAACAATGGTATAAATTAACATGTAATCGGACCACAACTTAACATTAAAAAAACATGGTGGACCATGAATGATACAGCAAGTAAAACTTCACGTCTTCACTGCTATCAAAACGTCCCTTACTCATCTTCGCGAACTTCAAATCCTAGGAAAAAAATGTTGCAAATACATTTGAGTTGAGTGTCGTAGATGGTGATTGAGCTTTAATTCGAATGAGCAACAATGATGTTTGAGCAATTGTGTTTGAGAATCAATGGTGATCAAAGAGAAGGGGAATTAGAGTTCTTCCTTCAATTTGTCAAAAATGAAGGATTAAGGTGATATAGCTATTTTTCATATTTAAATTACCCTAATATTATAATTTAAAAAGTTATCAATAATTTACAAAATAAAAAACAACTAATTTCAATTAAAATGACATAAAATCTGACCATATCTCAAAGAAAGTAAAGTTGATGTCAAATATTTGAGTTTTAAAATGAAGGTTAAAAATTTAAAAATATCAAAGTAGAGCATAAAAGTATAAACCTAATATTAATATTCCATATACTTTAAATGGATCGATTTAAAATTTTTTTTAAGAAAACTTTTAAGTGTATTAAATTAAATTATAAAGATATTTCTATTAATAGCATAGAAATATCATCATGTTTGTAATTTGTCCCCACAATATAATTTAATTTAATTCATACAATATAATCAAATTACATGACCTAGTTGAGTGCAGCCAGTAATTACTACCATCTTTGAAACTATATACGGTTGAAAATATCTCAAAAAGCACCTAAAGCTATATAGCAAGACAACAAACCCTATATAAAACGTCACATTATTCTCTTTTGAATTTTTAGTCTAAACAAGAACATTATTCGTTGCTTCTTCTTTCATTAATCTAGAAATGTCTATAATAAATTTGATTGGGACTTGATATAATTTGAATCGTTGCTTAAAGCAAGCACTTTTGTAATATCATCTTTACTTGAGAAAAGACTTTTGACATGTGTCGATTACCAAGGGAAGTGTAGTGGCTATAATTTCAATATGTAGAATATTTCTCTTTTTCCTTTTGTGGTTCACATAAGACTTTGAGATATTGAAGTACAATGGGGGACAAATCAGAAAAACCAATGGGTTTGTAGGAGATCAAAATCCAAAGAATATCAATTGTGTTGTTTGGTGGTGGTAAATTTGGGGTAAAGGATGCATTTGTGGCCACATATTCACTCATAGCATTCAACCACCAATTTTTGTTTATAAATGTGCATTTAACTCCTACTTTTACTTAGGTAAGTAAAAATAGGTTTAAGGATATTTAAAGGAGATGGTTCAAGTCTTTTCCAACTTAATAAAAATATATATTAAAATTCAATCTATATAAATCTCTTTTATACAATTTGAAGTACATTGTTTATATGTTGATGGTACACTTCTATCATAAAACTATATTGAAATTAGTCAAATCGAACTTAATAAAGATAATTAATTTGATGGTAAAACGAGTTCGAACCGTTAGATATGTCTGTTTTAATTATTTTTTTATAAGATAAATCAAGATTTATACTCACATTTTCAATTTCGTCTCATCCTATTTTTGTGGATTTTTGTGACACGAACATTAACATAACATTTTGCAGTTTTAAGGTTTAAAAACTACAATGCTCGTGGATCTGTTTGGGGCCGCCCTTATATTTTGTTGATTGGGTCAAGATTTTAGGATCGTACCTTCAATTATGTTTGCTCAGTCTTTTTTTTTTTTTTTAATGTTTACAAAACATAATTAAATGAGATAAGTATACTTCTTTGTCATCTCTAACTTAAATCAAATTGAATCAGTTTAATTTATTCGAAATCAAACTGAATTAAATTATTAGTTTGATAAATGAATTTGAAATTTTAAACTGTACCAATCTTTAAAAGAATATTTTATTTTTAAATCAAACTATTTGTTAAGAGACCAAACTATTATATATTTTTTTATTGTTAAAAAAAAAATTTAAAATTGTTTTCAACATTTTTCAATTCATCAACTAAAACTAAAGAGTTCAATTATTTTAATTTCAATTTACATTTTGGTGGGATTCAACAATTATTTGAACGGTCCTAAATTTAATTTAACATTTCTTGCTTTATACAATGTACATTCTCAACTTGCTATTTGAATACTAAAATATGCTTATGGAAGCCACGTGGTAATGTCGAATTTTGGACCCACTTCCCTAATCTCAGGTTCAAAACCTCATTTTATTTATGAATCACATTAATTAATTAATTAAGATGTTGTCATCGTTTAATCTCAACATTTACACAAATCAAGTAAAATCAAAACCATCATTGAAAAAACACAAAACCTATTCAAGCATAATCTGAGAAACACCATTTTTAGTATTAACAAAAGCATATGAATAAAAACATTTACTACAAAATTATGATTATTCTTATTATTATTATTACAACACATAAACTAGAAATTAATTTTGTTACCAACCTATGAATCTAAAACAAAAACCCTCAAAATTAGTACATAGAAAAACGAATATTTATTTTTCCTGGTTAATAGGTTGTTGCACTGTTTGAAGAACAAGAAGAAACTGGTGGTGGAGGTGTAGATTTCCATGGAACAACTTGATTTTCTTCATCATCATCTTCATCAGTATCTTCATCGTCATCGTCGTCGTCGTTATCGTCGTCGTCGTTATCGCGATGTCGATGATCATTGTTATTGTTGGTAACAGAAACACAGTAGTTACAAAGAGACATGGTTGGAACAAACTTGGGTCCGGTTCCATGCCAAGCAGTTAAAGATTGACAAACATGACATAGAAGAAACCTTTGATGTTTTGTGACTATGAAATTTGCAGTGTGAACCCTAGTATCACATTCCCAACAAAGACTTGCTTGATCTGATTCACAGAACAATTTTGCTGGACTTTTGCAGAGTTCACATTTTTTCTTCATTTTATAAACCTTCAAAAATGTTGTGTTTTCTTGTTTTAGACAAAGGATCTGAATTATTATATATAGATAAATTTTGAGGCCAAAATAAAAGAAGCAAAAATACATAAATTCTATATCATGTTGTGGGGTAGCTTGGTACTATTGAAACCATTCCACCTGTTGTTTTTCTGTTTTTGTCCATTGTATTATGTTTTCTCACTCCTACGTGGAGAAAGTTGACCGAGAGAGAGAAAAAAGATTAGTTGTTTATGACTTGGAGTCAAACTAGTTGGTTCTACGTTTCTTTCAACATAAAGATGATCCCCATTTCCATTTCTAATTATAATCACTTAACAACCTATGATACATAAACTTAAATATACATGATCTACACAAATCTCTCCATCTTGTATGTCTTTCCCAATCCATCGGCTAGCTTAAATTATGTTGGATAAGATAAAACATCAAGCATTCGATTAATAATTTGTTCTCTTATGAAGTTGAATCGAATTTTGTGTTTGCTCCTTCGATATAAAGTTGGATTATTGGTCAAATTTATGGTTGACTTGTTATCAATCATAAATATCAACGGCTTTTGCAATTTACATTACAACTTTTTTAGCAATGAATTCATCCAAATTGTTTGACATGAAACAAATGAGACAACTATTTACTTTGTCTCGCATGATGATATAGTTGTGATAAGTTGTTTCTTTGTATACCAAAAAATTGTAACATTATTGTACTTATAAACATAGCCTGAAGTACTTCTTCTATAGATTTTGTTGTCATACCAATCATAATCTAAATAACTGATGAATCTTGCCTTATTCTCATTCACAACAGTTGTAAATAGAAAGCCAAGTTTCATAGTTCCCTTTAGGTACCTGAATATTCTCTTTGCAACCACTAGATGTGATTTCTTTGACTCACTCATCGAAAATTACATGTATGCTGATGTGCACCCTTTAATTGACATGAATGTACAACATATAGGCTATTGTGGAATGATATCATATGAATATTATGTTTTCAATTTTATCATACAATTTACTTCTTCTTTGATAAGGTATTTGCTTGAAACATGTATTTGCAAAAAGAGTACAATAACATAACCCTGTGTTTGTAGGATTGTTTGAGATGTTTAAGGTATTTTGACAGTATAGAGCTAGCTAGCTCACACACAGTGGTGAAAAGCTATGTATGTGTACCTATGTGGGGAATTAGAGATCCCTCCTCAGTATTGAGGCACTTCATATTCGACTTTCTTACGTTTATAACAACAACCAATATAGAAGATCAAAGAGAAACTGAAAAATAAAAGACAATTAACACAATCAATTTTTATTACCGCAGTTAAGCTAATAATGCATACCTCTGTGATTGTAGAGCAACTATAATATTACAAATCAGTTTACAATGATACACTAGAACCATACTGTGGGGGAAACTGCCCTTGTACTTCCCAGTCACTACCCATAACAAATAGTTGGGCCTAAGACCCGTTTGGAATTTTAACCTATTGTGTTCCTCTCTATCTTAATACGAGTCATACTCAATAATCTCCACCTTTAGCAAATATTAAATCCCTATAAGGACTTCCTGCATAACAATCACATCATGCCAACTAGAAAGGTACACATCATGCTTAACATTGACAAACATGTAACATGTTTAAGCAATGCTTGAACTTGCTTTGATGATTGACTTGGTCAATATATCAAATGCATTCTTTAAAATTTGAAACTTTTCAAGTAATATATGTCCAAATGCAAGTAACCCCAGGATCTTGTGAAATTTCACATCAATATGCTTGGTCCTTGCTTGATACACCCCCTGAGAGAGCATTAATTTTCTAGCACTCTTATCCCTATGATTTTATATATCAAGAATATTCTTAGTAGCACCCAAGTATTTCATGTCAAACTCATTTCCCAACATGATTTTCAGTTTATTTACATCATCCAAATAATTAGCGGAAACCAACATATCATTAACATACAATAATAGGAAAATAAAAAGTCATCGTCATCACTTCTAACATAAACACAATAGCCATGCTAACACCTTTTGTAGCAAATATAAGACTTGTATGAATTAAATCAATTGTATCATTTCCTTGGAGACTGCTTTAAACCATACAAAGACCTCTTCAATTTACAAACTAGTATGTCCAATCTAGTGTCACTGAATCCCTCTAGATACTCCCTGTAAATTTTCTCATCTAGATTATCGTGAAGAAATGTTATCTTAAAATCTATCTCCTCTAAATGCATGTCCTAATTCGCTACAAAGGCTAACACAAACCTAATAGAAGTATGTCTAACAACTAGAAAGAAAATCTCATCATAGTTAATCCCCTTCTGTCGTGAGTACCCCTCTTCTACAAGACGAGACTTGAACTTTTCCCCTTCTGTCGTGAGTACCCCTCTTCTACAAGACGAGACTTGAACTTTTCCCCTTCTTTTTCTGTTAATAATGGTTTTCTCTTGAACACCCACTTACAACCGATGGCCCTTTTCCCTATAGGAAGCTGAACAAGCTCCAATGTCTGATTTTTCTTAAAGGACTCCATCCCTTCCACCATTTCACCCGTTCTCTTATCTTTTTCTTGGCTAGCTATATCATTTCAAAAGGTTTAAGGGTCTCTAGAACTAGTAAGAAGTGCATAGATTGCTAAGCCCTCATACACATATCTTTCAACTGGCTTGGTTGAATGATGATCTCAGTCACTTACGAGAATATAATCATGCAATCTACCTGAAACTTCAGATCCACGGTCAATTTCAATATTAGTGCTTGGTTCTTCTTGTGGTTCAGGAATTACCTACACATTATACATTGTTGGCAGATTAACATCCACCTGAATCGCCTATTTTCTGGAAGTTTCTCCTTCAGATACTAACACGTCTATTGCAACTGACTGATCCAATATTAACTGCTCATTAAAAACAATATCTTTATTTATTTCCATCTTATTTTTAATCAAATCCCATAGTTTGAACCCTCTCACACATTTTTCATAACCTACAAAGACACACTTCTTCGAATTTGGATCAAGTTTAGATTGATCTTCATTGGATATATGTGTCGCAACTGCGAAAAGACCGGCGGAAAAAAACAGAAGAGTCGTCAACTAAATTTATATATCCCAAAGAGAGGGAAAGGAAATGATCGAAGAAAACCTAAGAGAAAGGAAAAGACAAGGTCATCGCAACCAAATCTTAGGTTCGGGAGTCTGTTATGCAAGTGGAAGGTATGAGCACCCCCCACGTCCATTGTACTCAACGAGATCCACGCTTGTTGTCTAATCAAAAGGGTTAGTTATCTAAAAGCTACTGCTAAACGGGAAAGGGAAAAGAAAAAGGAGACTCGATAGGACATCGTCGCCCTATGCCTACGCATTCCCTTGTGCAATGGGAAGGTCAGAGTCAACGTAGTTCGGAAAACTAGACCACTGGTTGGTTAAGTGTTTTTTTATGAGTGACGTTAAGTTCCCATTCCAGCAATTAGGGTCGATGCCTGTTTGTGGTAAAACGAAAAAGTAACGTACTCTTTTCTGAAAATGAGTTTGAAACAAATCCTGAAGGATAAAAAAGTTTGAATTTGGTTTAATAATTTTAGAGAATTGAATTGAATTTATTTGAGATTCGCGTTGCACTAAAGACTATGACATAGAAACGAAGGCATCGCATATCGCCCAAGGGGTATACACTAAACACTCTAGACAAGTGAGGAAACCCCCCCCCCCCCCCCCAATCATCATTTCTCACATACTTAAGGCTCGTGCCGCACAACGTTCATCATTCTTTATTAAGTGTCTTAGAGTTGTTTGAGACGAAAAGAGAAAACTCCAAAAAGAAAACACTAAAGGGAAACTGAAAACCCTAATGTTATCATACAAAACGGTCCTAAGATTAGGATGAAAGGAAGTATACCTAATGTTATTATACAAACGATGGACCTAAAGTTGAGGTCAAAGAGGGACAATCCTAATTGTTATCATGCAAAGGATTAAAAGTCTAATGCCTCTCCTACTCCCACCTTAATAAAAAATTAAGTGGGACTAGGAATCCTAAGGGATCATGTGAGCAAACACAAGTAAACACTATCCAATTCAATCACAAATGAAAACAAAAATGAAACTTAAACAAGTTCCAAAAAGAGAGAGAAGATGAAAGTAGAAAGAAAAGAAATACAAGATGAAGAACATATACATGAAAGTTCAAAGGTAAGGCATCAAGCAAGCAAGCAAGTTTTAATGATCACACATATCAACAAGATGTCAAAGCAAGCAAGGGAACAACCATATGCTAAGCCATATCCAAAGATTGAAATAAAAACACAATGGCAAAGCAAACATGCTCTCACACATTTAAATGACATAAACAACTTACAAGAAACAATACCAATCCCAAAACCAAGTGAAATGAGATCAAATGAGTAAAGAAGAAAGATGGGGCAGTAACACATCATATCATATTTATGTTAGGCCAATGATCAAAGAGAGAACACAAAGACTCAAGTCAAACATTTCATTCATAAATAAATCAACAAGGCAAACCAAAAGGAGCATGTAAAAGATAATCCTAAAGGAAAAGGCACATGATTATGACATGAACATAAGAAGAATCCATAACATCAACATGATCATCAAGGTAACATCCATCCATGAACACACAAAAAGATCATACAAGTTGAATTCAAACAATCCTCTAGAAAGAAATATATATCCAAATCATCATCTACAAAAGAAACACCAAGCAAGCATATCAATCCCAAATGACTTGAGGGAGATCAGAATACCACTAAAAAATGGACTAGAAGATAGTTTCACATGATTTTGCAAATCAAAACTAATTAAAAAAAGTTAAAAAGTCAAATAAAAATCTATAAAAGGATAGAAATTAGTTAAAACACAAATACGAATAAAAAAACCATAGGTCAAAGACCATCATAGGATCATATACTATTTTTCTCACAAATTTAAAATTCCCAATTTTTTTTAAACTAATTAAAAT